GGAATGAAATAAACAATAAAATCTAACCAACTCAGTAGAAAATCAATTATTGAAGTATTATGCATCATACCATCTGTCTTTTGCAAAATTAACCTCTGTTTATTCCCTAATTTAGAGGAAAAGATATTGGGTGAAAATAAGAAAAAGTGAAGAAAAAGTAGAAGGTGGACGATGAAGAAGAGGAGGAGGAGGAGGGAGGAAGAGAGGAGAAGAGGAGGAGGAGGAGAGGAGGAGTAGAGAGGAGGAAGGGAGGAAGGAGGAGAAAGAGGGAGAAGGGAAGGAGGAGGGGAAGGGAGGAGGAGAGGAGAAGGAGGAGGAGAGGAGAGAAGAAGGAAGAAGAAGAAGAAGAAGAAGAAGAAGAAGAAGAAGAGGAGAAGGAGAAGGAGGAAAAAGAAGAAGGAGGAGGAAGAAATAGTGGAGACAAAAAGGATAGGGAGGGAGAGGAAGAAGAAGATGAAGGAGGGGGAGGAGGAGATGGAGGGGGAGAAGGAGAAGAAGACCAAAGGAGAAGAAAAAGGAGTAGAAAGAAGACAAGAAGGCGGATGATGATGATGAAGAAGAAGAGGAGAAGGAGAGGAAGGAGAAGGAAGAAGAAGGAAGAGGAGGAGGTGGAGAGGAAAAGGAGAAGGAGGTGGATGGGAGGAGGAGAGGAGAGGAGAGAAGAGAAGAAGGAGGGGGAGAAGGAAGAGGAGTTGGAGGGAAATTTGGAGGAGAGAAGAGGAAGAGGAAAAGGAAAGAGGGGGAGAAGGAGAGGATTGGAGAAGGAAATTTTGGAGAGAGGAGGAGGAGAGAGAGAAGAAGAGAAGAAAGAAGAAGAAGGAGGAAGAGGAAAAGGAGAAAGGAGGAGGAAGAGAAGGAGGAAGAGGGAGGGGACAAGAGGAAGGAGAAGGAAGGAGGATAGGAGGAAAAGTAGGTAGAGAAGAAGGAGAAAGAGAAAACGAAGAAGAAAAAAAAGAAGAAAAAGGATGAGGATGAGAAAAAGAGGGAAGAAGACGAGTAGGAGGATGAGAAAAAGAAGGAAGAAGACGAGAAGAAGAAGAGAAATAGAAGACGACGACGAAGAAGAAGAAAAAGAAAAAAAAAATGAGGATGAGGATAAGGAGATAATGAGGAAGAAGAAGAGAAAAACCGGGTCTGTGTAGTTATCAGCCAGAGCCTCTTCCACACGAGCAGACACTGTTGCCATCAAGGGAGTTCCAGCCACCGCGTTCCAGATAGGATTCGTCATGCATCCTACATCCTAAAAAAATCGTGGATAACGCCTACATGTCTAGGATATTAATGACATGCTTCCCGTATAGTCATGGAGAACTTGGCATGTCCAGCGGCAGGATATGAGCGACATGGTGTTTTCCGTATGACAGGGGATTCTTCGTCAGGTCAGACGCTGTCATTTGAAGGTGAGTTCTTAGCTACACTCTTAGGGGGGAGGGGAGGGGGAGGGGTACATGGGGAGGGGAGAGGAAGGGGTACTTGGGGAGGGGAGGGGGTACTGGGAGGGAGGGTACCTGGGAGGGGGAGAGGAAGGGAGGGTCAACTTGGGGGAGAGAGCGAAGGGGTACATGGAGAGAAGGAGAGGAGGAGTACATGGAGAGAGGGAGAAGAGGGGGTAGGGAGGGGGGAGAGGGAGGGTACATAGGGAGGAGGAGGGGGAAGGGGGAAGGGGGCGTACTTACACGAAGACTGGTTGCGGGCGTGTGTGGGAGGGATGAGCCCTTCGGAATAGCTGAAGAGCCCAAGACGCGAATTCTCAAGGTGTAGCGTGGAATCTGCGGACCTGGTTGGCGTCCTGCAGCCCCGCAGAATATAATAACATACTGCCGGTTTGTTAAAATTGTGCGGTGTCCGACCCAAAGAATATTCGTATACTTGACATGCATACATAAAGACTTACATGCATATTTATCAGTCTAGACATGTATATCAACCGGGAAAATAGATAGTTAAATGTATATCTATCAGATATAGAGACAGATATGCCTTTATTTCTGCGTCTGTATTTATGAAAATTCATTAGGTCGGCCTGCACAATTAACAAACCGGCTGCTAATGATTTAGTTCGTTATCTGTCACAGTGGCATGACAGAGAATGAATCCCTCTCTCTTATGTTTGGTGTCTGTATTTATGAAAATTCATTAGGTCGGGCCTGGCACAATTAACAAAACAGCTGCTAGTGATTTAGTTCGTTATCTGTCACAGTGGCATGACAGAGAATGAATCCTTCTCTCTTATGTTTGGTATGACAGGCTGTCTATTGTTTGCTTCTAAAGGAATGGAGGAAAGGCCGGGGATTTACCACCCGATGGCAGTGCGGGGTTTGAACGCGGGTCAGGAAGACTGCCAGACGAAAATGGAAATAGGATGAACAAGAAAATGGAATAAAGAATACAATAAGAAATAATGTGCAAATGTAAGTACAATAATAAATTCATAATGAAAAGCAACAACAATAAGGAGAATGAGGGAGGAAAATGAAAATAAGATTAAAAATCAATGGAATAAATAAAACGAGAAAAAAATAAAATAAGATTAAAAACAATAAGGAGAATGAGCGAGAAAAAATGAAAATAAGATAAAAAAAACAATGGAATAAAGAAAAGAGAGAATAAAGAAATGGAACAAGAAATGAATGCATTGTACCACTCAGCAACTTTGAGGTCACAACCTGGTATTCTCTGGGAGTGACCTTATAAGGTGAAGAGACCAATACGCGTTGCAACTTGTATGCAGCATTGGACATGGGGAGGGTTGGTGTGAGCTTTCTCTCTCTCGCTTTCTCGCTGTCTCTGTCTGTCTCTGTCTGTCTGTGTTGTCTCTCTGTCTTTCTGTCTGTCTGTCTGTCTTGTTTGTCTGTCTGTCTGTCTCTCGTCTTTCTCTCTGTCTGTCTCTCTCTGTCTGTCTGTCTCTCTCTCTCTCTCTCTCTCTCTCTCTCTTCTCTCTTCTCTCTCTCTCTCTCTCTCTCTCTCTCTCTCTCTCTCTCTCTCTCTCTCTCTCTCTCTCTCTCTCTCTCGCTCGCTCGCTATCTCTCGCTATCTCTCTCTCTCTCGCTCTCTCTCTCTCTCTCTCTCACTCTCTCTCTCTTCCTCCTCACACACACACACACACACACACGCACACACACACACACACACACACACCCACACACACACACACACACACACACACACACACATATATATATATATATATATATATATATATATATATATATATATATATATATATATATATATATAATATATATATATATAATATATTATACCGAAAATGATAAACAATAAAAAATCCACAAAAGCAATAAGAATTACACGAACAAAACGGGAATCAACGAAAATGAAAGACGAAGACGAAAGAAGAAAAGGAAAGAAAGAAAGAAAGAAAAGAAGTGGATCTTGGCGCCGACCATCTCTGTGAACCCATTTTATCCCAGCAGGAACTTCGGTCTTTGGTAAGAGAATTGCTGTGTTCTACTAGCTATTATTATTATTATTATTATTAGTGTATTATTGTGGTTAATACTGTTATTGCTATGAAGATGATAATGATAATGATGATTGTTATTTATTTAATATACTATTGTTGTTATCATTATTATTGTGATTATTATTATCATTCTCTTTATTATTATCATTCTCTTTATCATTATCATTCTCTTTTAGATTACTATTACCATAAACACACATACAAACACACACACACACACAAGCACACACGCACGTGCACACACACACACCACACACACACCACACACACACCATGCCTACACACAAAAAAAATATATACTTACACATATCATAATCATAATAATCAATGATTTTTAATAACACTACAAATAATATAATATATGAATAATATAATAATATCATTACCTTAAAATAATACACCATTCTGCACGTAACAAATACTCATCCCCAAACACAGATCCACACGTGTCGACTCTTGAGAAATGTTTACAGTTAGACCCCCAAAGAGACGAGTTAATGAGATAATTAAAAAAAAATCTTATCTTTTTTAATTAAGTAATCAACCTTCGTACCTCAGAGACTCCTCCGCCTTCACCGAGAGATCGAGTTTATATTCCTGTCATAATGATTATTATTGTATTATCATATATATTATATTATTATATTATATTATTATTATTTATATTATATTATATTATTATTATTATATATATATTATTATATTATATTATATCATATTATATTATTATATTATATTATATTATTAGTATTATATTATTATTATTGCTGTTATCATTATCTTTTTTATGTTATCCTTATTTCTTTTGATATCATCATTCTTTATTTTCTCGTTGCTCTAATTTTTGGAAACCTATTATCGCCCATAATTACTGTTCTCTTTCTCAGTATCATCATCGTTGTCTTTGTCGTTACGTCGTGTTATCATTCATCATCATTGTTATTATTCATAATTATCATTATATTATATTATGTTCTCATTTGTTATCATCGTGATTATCATTATATTATTCATTATTTATCATCATGATTATCATTATGTTATTATATTATCATAATTATCATCATGATTATCATTATAGATGATATTAGAGATAGAAGCGATGATCATGCTACTGAACCCAACCAGACGCAGCTGCCAGGAGACCCGAGTTCGAAGGCCGTCGGGTAGTCTGGGGTGGCTTGGGGTGCGTGTCGTGGCGTGTCTGGGGATGTGGCGTGTCTGGGTGGGCGTGTCTGGGGAGGGCGTGTGGTGGGCGTGTGGGCGTGTCTGGGGGGCGTGTCTGGGGGCGTGTCTGGGGTGGGCGTGTCTGGGGTGGCGGGGCGTGTCTGGTGGGCGTGTCTGGGGGGCGTGTCTGGGGTCTGGGTGGCGTGTCTGGGAGGGCGTGTCTGGGCGGCTTGATACGAGGCGTGTCTGGGGTGGGCGTGGGGTGGGCGTGTTGGGGCGTGTCTGGGCGTTGTCTGGGCGTGTCTGGGGTGGGCGTGTCTGGGGTGGGCGTGTCTGGGGTGGGCGTGTC